CATCAGAAAATATCCCAGCCCTGTGATGCAAGGCACTAATGACCCATGCAAACTCACTTTTCTGGTTCAGATTTGTTAAATATTTTTGTCTGACTGGAAGGCCCCATGCCACATCAGGAGCTGCCTGTCTCTATGTCCCACTGACTGCACCATGGCTTGCCTGTTTTCCTGCACATAGACAACATAAACTCCATGAACCACAGCTAATTGGGTGGAAATTGGGTGTTCTGCTTATGCAAAACTGAGATGAAATGTATGTTGTTGAGTGGACTGGTGCACAGATGCTGTTCCTGGTGGTGGACAGTCAGCCCTGGCACTGGGATGCTGTCCCTGAGTCCTGGCCCAGCCTGCTGGGATGGGAGGCTGGTTGTGACCGTGTCTCACAGCAGTGCTGGTCCATCCCTGGGTCTTCCCCGCTGCTGGGAGTGCAGGTGCAGATGCTGATGTGGCACAGCTGAGATGTGAGAATTCTTTAAGTCCCTACAGCTTGCAGCATCTGAAATCAATTGTTTCTTTCACTGTAAAACTGTTGCTACACCATTTTGCTTTGCAGCCTTTCAAACAAGCACATCTGTCAGACTTTCATGTTGTCAGTGCTTTGTCATGTGGGATTTTCTATTTATTAAGAGCAGGGCTTTTACCAAGCAAGCATCTTAGTCACCATCTTGGTTTAAAAAGTACATCTCAGGGTAAGCTCACCTGAAGTCATCTTGGGGAATGCTTTAACATAAGGATGGTATACAACTCCCCCAGAATCTATGATTACAGAATGTGGCCAGCTTTTGTCACTCTTCAGGCCTCAGCAGAGATATGTGATCTGTTTCATTTTTATCCTTAATTTTGCTTGTACGGATAATTTAACATCTACTCAAACATTAGGAAAAATATATTTATTATATATAATAAAAAAATTATATTACAATTATGTATGTACCTTCTGTGTGTGCATAACATGGGCGCCCCACAACCGGTGCTCTGCCCTTCCCTGTGCTCTCCAGCCCAGAATTTTGGCATGGCACTCCATCCCATGGGAGCGTGAGGAGGAGAGGAGGGTGAGGGAATCTCTTAGTAATGCTATGGTCATCAGAAAGTCGCTGCCTGCAGCCAAAGTTAGAGTCGGGAGCTCGCTGCCAGCCATGTGGGCAGGCTTAAAGCCTGGGGCATGTGGCGTGGATGCAAATTAGTGCTCTTGAAAACCGAGCTAAGCCTGAGGGCTCTGCAGTGAGCCCGTGGAGAGCAGCTGTTGTGGCAGCGCATAAACGAGTGGGAAGGGAAAAACACTCTTTCCTTGTTTCAGAGAGAGGAAAATCTCTTGCCTGGGGCTCTGCTGTGCAGGGAACTGCGGGGCTGCATGTCAGGCTGGGGCTTGAATGGCAGGATCAAGATGGGGACAACTGCCTTGGCTACAGAGCTGAAAGGATGGAAAAGCCCACACCTTTGTTGCCAGGCTAGCTGTGTGCCAGCCTTTCAGAGCAGGAGGCAAAGGGACAGCCAGGGGCTCTAGTGCCAGCAGAGCAGCAGCTGGGGACTGCTAGGATATGGGAAGAGTTAAGCAGTCTGGAGACAAGGAATGAGCTGTGGTGTTCTTTCTGTGATTTAAAGAGGGAAAAATGCACCCTCCCTCTCAGATGCTTCCTTCTGTCCAAAAAAGGCTAAATAGGCTCAGTGAAAAACCAGCAGAGGCATTCCTCGTATTCTCTGGAGTAACTGGATGTAAAAGGCAGGATTTAAAGGGGTAGCTTGCAGCAGATTATATGCGACTCTGAAAGGAATTCCCCTCCTGCAGCAAAGCTGGCTGTGGTTTCCATAGGGAAGGGTGAGCTGGGTGCTAGCGAGAGAAAGATGAGTCTGTGTACGAGATGGGTCTTAACAAACACAGATGATTCATAAGTCACCATGGGTTATTAAACACAGGTGGCCAGTTTGTCTTCTTTATTTTATTAGGGACAGCTTTACATGCACACTAATAACCCCAGGGCTCAGCAGCTACCAAACATCCTGGTTAATGGAATTAACCCTGATTCAAACCCTGTGCATGTCAATGGGGGATTCTCTCCTGAATTTCAACATGCTTTGGAGCGTGACCAAAGTGAGTTTAATGAGCTTTTTCAAGATATTCTGTCATCCTTCTGCAGCCAAACAGGCTGTGCTGACCTCCCTGGGCCAGGACTGCAGGCACTTTCTGCACCCTTCGCTGGTGGCTGTCGGCCACTTGCAGAACACGTGTGAGGGCTGGCTTTCAAAATTGCCTCCACACAGAAAAAAGCCACCTCTGGCACCCAGCAGTGAGTCACAGAGGCAGTCTGGGACTTGAAGGGAGAGGGGTGAGAAAAATCTTTAAAAGAGAAAGGAAAATTAAGGGAAGTGGGAGGAAGGGAGGCTGAAGATGATTGCCAATGTCAGCATGAGGGGGAAGGGAAGGATCCCTGGCAGACAGACACTGTGGTCCTTCCTTCCCATCTCCAGCCAGCAAGAGATGAGAGCAGCATGGGGCACACCTCTGCCTCACCCTCCCAACTGCATCAGAGCTGGAGAGAGGTCCACCCTGCTCCGTTCCTTGTCCAAAAGGAGGATTTCAAGGAGGATTTCCTTGTCCTAGGGGATGAGCAGGAAGGTCTCTGCAGGCCAAGGAACCTCATCAGGCAGCACATACCAGCTACTCTGAAAAACATTGAATTCTCACCCCATCAGACTCCACATTGTGAGGGGCTTGTGGCTTCTTTTCAGATCCTGGTCCTGTTTGAGGTGGAGTTTCTCACTCCCATGAGAGTGGTTAGCCAGAGCATCCCTAGTGAGCATGGCTGAGACTATGTGAAAAGTGAAGGTTAGGGGGTAAAGTGTGGGAAGAAGGAAAACAATTGATATGGGGATTGGAGAAGGGGATCTGGAAGAATGTTTCAGTCACTTTGGGTGGCAGTTTCTTATCTCCCTTGGACAGAATTTCTGGGACTTTCTGTGACTCTGTGAGTGAGTGAGATGCAAAAGACCAAGTTTCTTCATCCATGAAGTCAGGGCTGCTTTTGCTGGGATGTTTATATTGGGGAAAGGGCTTCAGGAAAGTCTCCTGAAGAGAAACTGGGGAGGGAGGGTGGTGGAGCAGTGTCACTCCTTAGCTGCCTTTATAGGGTAAGGACTAAGCTGTTCACCTCAGTACCTTCTGCAAATGCCAAGCCTGGGCAGCTCATTCTCTAGCAGTGCCTCGACAGGAATTCTGCAGTTTCTCCAAATCAGACCTGTGCCTGTTGGAGGCTCTTACCCTGCAAAACTCAGTCATGTGTGGGAAGCCAAAGCTGCAGGTCCTTGCCCACTGCCTCCTGGCAAAGTGTCAGGGCCCAGTGTGACAGGGCAGGGTCTTCTTGCTGAAGGGTCCTACTGGAGCCCCTCCCAAGGGTCACAGTCCCTTGGTCCCCTTGCAGGTGCCTTGGGAGCAGACTGCATCCACCTTTGTGGGCAGTGCTCTCTGCCCTGGCTGCTGCAGGCTCGCTCATTGCTGACACCCTGAGCAGGACTTTGTGCAGGGCTGTCAGAGCAGCTCCTGATGCTTGGCAGTGCTTCCATGCAGGTGCTGGATGGAGGCTGTGGCTCAGGCCCTCACAAAGGGCTCAACCAGGAGAGGACTTTGTGCACATCAGTGCCTGGAGGTTCCCTGAGCAGGCTCCTGTCTGATTTGTGCATTTATTGTGTGCCTGGAATGGGATGCATATTCAAGCTCTTTTCTAAGGAAAGGTGTTCAAAGTTACTGCCATGAGCAGCAGGGCTCGCTTTGCTTTTTTTGACTGGTGAAAGGAAAGAGTTGCCACCAAAATCAAGTAGCTTTTAATGTAAACTTGATGGCCAAGTGCTGACCTGCAGTGAGCTGGAACCAAGTGAGAAACCATCCTCTGTCCCTCCCCCCTCCTCTCTCTTCCCTACCAAGTGTCTGGCTCTAAGCAGCACAGACCACCCCACAAAATCTCACACACCTCCTGTTGGGTGAAGCATTGCCCAGAGGTGGGAATACCCACACGGATTTTCTGTGGAGCACAGCCAGCCCCAAGGAGGTTCTGAAGTTAAACAGGAGTGTGTTTAAAGGAAGGGAGAGGATATGGTTTGCCTGGGCTTTTCCTTGAAAGGAAATGCCCTTTCAGAGGAGGCCTGGAAGAGGTGGATGCCAGGGCTCAGGGAGCAGGATGCAGTGACTTCCAAAAGCTGCAGAGAGGGAAGGACTGCAGTGAGGTTAATTTAGACCTCTGGCAAATTGAGTGTGGCAGGGAGTGACTCAGCTGGTTGTTCTGCTCTTCACAGTCTGCAGCGCTGTGCAGTGCTGTCGAAGGAGCTCATTGAATGGCAAATCCAGCTTTGGTCCACCTGCAATGATCCAGCGTGGATTTGCCAGATGTGTTTCAGGGGAGACCATTCCTGGCTGGCTGTGATGGAAGGGCTGAGGGATCTTCAGGCAGACTTGTTGGCATGGCTGCAGCTTGAGAATCCCAGCCAGGGCCAGTATCCCCAGGGCTCAGAGCAGAGAGTGGAGCTGGGGGCTGAGCCAGGAGCTGCTGGGGGTCCTGGATGGTCCAGCGGCTTCCCGGCCCTCCCCCATCCCTGTGCCTCAGTGCTCCAGTGCATTGTGGGCTGTGTGGGCAGAGCATCCTCCTGGGAGGAGGGAATTGCTGATCATTGGGAAGCCAAGGAAAGCCTGGTTTAAAGTAGCTTTGTTGGTGAGTCCTATCCCAGCCTGCGTCCCTGCAAAATCGGCTAAAAATCAGCTAATTCAGTTAAGAATACAAGAAGAGGTGTGTGTGTGTGTGTGTGTGTGTGAAGGCTGATCTACCTCTTGTGACCAGGGAGGTCAACACTAAAATCTGTGAGAAGATCCTTGAAGAAGGACCTGAACTTGGGTCCAGACAGGATCATGGCATCAGACAAACCCCCACTTGTTTGTCAGAGTACACCCATGATATCTGTGAACCCAGAAATGGTGTGCAGCACAGGGCACAGTGTGGGAAGCCTTCAGCAGCTCATACAGCACTGATGCCAATTTATTAATTGGTCCTTGGGGCTTGCCTTGCCTTTAGATTTTCAGAAGGACATCAGGGTGATGCTGGCAGAGGCTCTCCAGTCTTAAATAACTTGGAAGAGAAAGAGAGAGGAAAAGCAGAATCGGGAAGAGAAGCATGAATGGAGAGGATGGATCTCCTGCCTGGCATTGAGTCCCTCTTTTAAGTTACTTTCTCTCAGCTTGCAGATTCTAAGCTGCTTGGCTTGTCTCTCCCCTCACCTCCTGCTTTCAATTCTTTGATCTGAAAAGGCAATTACTCAGTGCATCCAGGCAGTTGAAATTTTTTTAAGAGTGTGACTCAGCCTTTGCAACAGCGAGTGCCCAAGGCTCCCAGCTGCTGAGCTTGCACAGCTGGGCACAGGTGAGGTGCTCAAGGAGTTTATTTTTTTTTTTTTCTCTCCAAGTCTCCTATTTCCCTCAATTTAAATTGGCTGCTGCACTTTCCTGCTGTTTCTAACTGGCCTTTAAGGGAGTGTGTACCTGGATTGCAGGCATGGGAGGGTAAAGGACTCAGCAGTGCCTTTCTCCAACACACCTCAAATTGCTGGCCCTGAGCAGGACCCTTTTCCCAGCTTTATCCTGCTTTTTATTTATTGTTTTGTATTTCTATGACTTTACAGCAGATTGAAGTCACAGTGTGTATCTCTAGCTCTGCTTCCTGTCTGCTCATGATAGGCATCACATCTCTACAGTGGTCTCCATCTACCCTTAAGGAACCAGACTTTACTTTTTGAGGGAGCTAAAGAACCAGCACCTCAATTCCTTGGGTAATCAGAAATCTCACCACTGTGAGATATCCTGCCAGCTCAGAGTGTCATAAAAATGACAGAGTCAAGAAAGTGCTTTACAAAGTTGAAAGAGAGCCGGGATCCACGCTTTAACCATTTTTTCCTCTTTTGGCAGGAGATTGTGTCTCTTGTGCTGCTTTAGACAGCATCAGAGATTTTTTGCAATCCTGGCTCTGGTCCTTGAGGAAGAATCCCACACCACAAGAGCCATGAGTCTTGCAAGCTGGGAAATATCTCCAACTTTCTCTCTCTTGCCTTGTAAAAGGACACAGGTAGAAACCTTAGCGTCCTTCCATGTGTCAAAAAGAGCATTGAGGGTGATTTGTGGTGGAAAACGCAAACCCCAGGAAGAGCCCACGTGACCCCTTCCCCATGGCTGACCCTCCTTCCATGTCACTGCCCCTTTCCCCAGGTCTCTTCCATAATGCTTCCTATTTTTACCTCTGGAAAGGAGCAGTGTTTTGAGGCACAGGGCAGCTTTGCTGCCCTCGGCCACCAGCCCTGGCCCTCTCTCAGTGCTGGGCTGGCAGCACCACGGCAGGGCAATGACTCAGTGCCTGGCAGAGGCAGGGAGGGGAGGCTGCAGCCCCCAACCTGCGGCTAAACAGGCTCAGCTTTGTGCTGGACATCTTAAAAGGGGCTTTATGACTCCTCTGAGCACAGCATGAGCCCCAGCTCCTGCACAGGCCCTTCTTTGTGGGTGGTGACGTGGGCCCGGCGTGGGGGCGAAGCCAAGCAGGAGGTGGGGAATGGCACTGCTGGCGGGGTCCCTGGACAGGATTGGGACTGGGAAAGGGTGAGAGCCAGGACGGGGAAGCAAGACCCCAGAGTGCCTAATTCTGATCAGTCCAGAGGAGAGGTAGGTGCCTTAAGGGTGTGCCAGGGATCTGAGCTGATGGTGGTCCCTGGATGTCACTTAGCATGACATAGTTGGCTGCTGAAGACTGCAGCTCTTGCAAGCTGGTATCAGAGGTCCAGGAAAGATGGGGGAATACCTAGAGAGGCACACCTTGTGCATTGCAATTCTGTGTAAATATGTAAAATCTCGGCTCTGCGAGGTTTGGATTCACACTTCCTCCACTTGGTTTCACGTTAAAAAAGCCCCACCAAACCCTCTGCAGCTGCCTCCTCCTCTCTCAGTCACAGAGACAACTGTAGGAGCCATTGCTTTTACCATTTGTCTCTCAAAATATCAATTTTCACTTCGCTTGAGCTAAATGGTTTCTCCCCCTTTTCTCACACGTTTCCATCAGTGGGTAACGAGAGCGGGGGATGTTCTCGGCTCGCTGCTGCTGCCTCTGCCCGGGTGACAGGGTGCACATGTTCATGCAAGGCATGTTGCTGGGAAACCCAGTGGCCAGAGTCCCCCTTGCTGCCTTCCCCTGGCCCTGAGCACGTTAATCTCTGCCTCAGCCTCAGCAGACAGACATCTGCTGCTGTTTTTCCAGCCGGTGCTGTGCTGGGTGATCAAACACAGAGACAGCTTCTGCAGCTCAGCTGCTGCTTAAGCCACCTAAGACCTCAGCCCACCACCAGAGTGGGGCTGCAGAGGCAAAGGCTGAGACCCACCTTGCACCGTGCCAGAGGGCCTCCAGGAGGGGAATTACTCCACATTTCTGCTGCACCATGTCGGGGTGATTCCCACCTGTTGGTGTGGTTTATTGCAGAGTAGGGCTGGGAGATGTCCCTTCTGCAGCTGGTGTCTAATTTTGCTTGAATCCCACTGAACTACACAAGAAGTCCCAGGCAATGAGCTAAAATACACTGTTAAAACATTGTTTGCAGCCAGGCCAGAGCCCTTGGTGCATGACTCCAGTTTTAGTGCTCCATCGCTTCTGTGATGTCACCTCAGTAACTGCAGGGCATTCCCATGGCACAAATCCTGGAGTGATGCAGGATGGGCTTGGCCTAAATGTGCAGAAACAGCTGAGACTGAATCATTTGTCTTCTAGGTGACCCTGAAGACGGGGCTGCCAAGTGCTGTGACCAGACTTGTGTGACAATAGCAATGCTTACAGCAGCTGTGCAGGGGCTGCTGGTGCTGAGCTGGTGCCCAGGTGGCTGTGGGAGGTGCTGGTGATCTGCAGGCTGGGATACTCCTGCTCACAAATCCAGTCCTTGAGCCAGGCTTCACATCCTCCTTGTGCCCTGCAGCTGTGTGCATCAAGCCTTGGCTGGAGCAGGCGGTATAGGCAGGTTGTTACATAGAGGGAAACCTGGGAATTCCTTCTGTCAGCTTAGTCAGTCCTGATGGTTTGGGACTGGACAGGGTCCATAAGTGAAAGACTTGTCCCAAACCCAGATGGGAAGCACCAGCTCTAGAATGCTTGAGGCTGGCAGGTTGGGATAACACCCATGTGTCCGCCTGGAAATCCTGATGCTGGGCTGCCCATTGGCATTTTTGAGAAGCTTTCAAGAAAAGTAGTTCTTAGACACAGGCCTCTGCCCAGAAACCCATGCAGCTGCATGGCTTGGAGCAGCTGGGTCACCTGAAACTGCTGCAGAAGAGCAGGATGCCTTTTTAAATGCCCTCTCAGTGACAGATTACAAATACCAAAAGTGAAAAAAGATACAAGAGAACACACCTCTTCAGAATGGGAAATAGCTCCCTGCAAACATGTGGGGATGCTAAAGCCAGGCAACAGGTGAATTAACGCAACTACTAGCCACTTTTTTCATTTCTTGAAAGTGCCAAGCTGTATTTTTAGCACCAAAATTTTTGATGGTTTAGGTCTGAAACCATCTCAAAGGCTGAAAATCAAGCCTGCTTTACTAAGCCCCACAGCTGTGCTTGGGCAACCAAGCATTAAAAAAGAAAAAACCACATAGCTGGAGAATTCAAATAAAATCTGTTGCAAACATGGTTTGCTGAGAAGATGAGGCAGCAGGGCCAGGGGAAAAAATGGTCCAAGAGGCATTTTATTGCTCTTGCACCTCTGTGCTGAGGAGGGTTTGGGGGTATTTAGCAAGAATAAGTGTCCAGGTCCTGCAGTAAGGGGTATTTCAGCTCACCAGGGCACAGGGGCTTGTTGCTGTCTGAGGTACAGATATCAGTTAAACTAATCCTCTAAAAATGCTGTAGCATCCTCTTAATTCCTTTTAACTGGACTTTCCTCAGGATAGCAGAACCCTGAGTTTGTGCTGTGGTTGGATGAGCTGTGCTGGGTGGGGAGCTGGAGGAAGCTGGTGGGTCTCATTGCCACACGGGGAGGGGGCAGGAAATTTGGCTGGAGGACCTGGGGGATGGTTAGGCTTATTTTTCTATATGAAAATTTACAGGGAACAGGGAGTAAAGCAACTCTAAAGCTTCCTTCTTCTAGCTTTCCACAAAACTCCCAGAAGAGCAAGAAGTCACTCGAGGTACATCCACACTTGGGTTCACCTACTTTTTTGGAGTCAGGAAACAAGATTTAAACTCCATCCCACCAAGTCTCTTCTTTCTGGAAAATACTACTTCTTCAGGTCATGAAGGAGGTTTCCTTCATGTGAGAACATTGTGACATAAAATGTGTAGGCTTCCCACAACAAAGTTTAGAGGGGAGGAAAACTTTCCCTATTTTGCAGGTCCCGAGGGAGCAAAAGGCACACCCAAAGTGATGATATTCCTGCATCAGGATCCAAGACTGCTGGTTGTCCTTGGAGTTGGGCTGCAAGAAATCCCACTGAAATGGGAAGGAGGCAAGGGAGGGAAGAGGCAAAGCAAAGATGGAGAGAGGCATAGAGCTGGCTACAAGGAGAGACTGAGGTTACAGGTTTCTGAGCATGTCAAAATCGTGTTTCCTGGCATCTTGTACAACTTGACAGGGACAAAACCCATGCTTTTCAGCAACAGTAGCTGAAGTACAACCCTGAGACTGCTCTGGACCCTCATGCACCTGTGAGCAGTCTCTTGCATCCTGAGGGCAAAGTCACACAAGCACCAGCATCGCAGATTCATCACAGCGGGGCTGATGCCTTTTTCCCCTCAATGCCCTTCAGATTCTTTCAGGAGCTGGTCTGTGGCTGGTCAGGCTCAGAAGGAGGGTTAGAAAGAAGGTGGCCAGGTGTGTTTCTGGTGGCCAGAGTGGGTGAAACGTGGGTCAGATGATCCCAGGGGAAGGAGAGCTGAGCAGGGAAAGGTCACCTAGACAAGGCCAGGAGGAACGTGGCTCCTCCACCTAGAGAAGAGAGATAATAACAGCCTTTGGGGACACTTTGTCTCCTGGTAATTCATGTTGCTGATTCCTGCTCATTGAGCCCAGACAGGCCTTCTGGGGAAGTCTAAACATTAACAAAGCAAGCGGTGTGCACACAGCAGGGCAGCTCAAACATGGTGTGGGTGGTTTGCTGGAGGGCATTCACACTCAGCCATGGCATAGGGGGGTCCTCCCGATGCTGGGCATGCACTGGTCAAGGCTGCATTTTATCAGCTCATCAAATATTTGTTTACATCTGTGACCTTCAGAATTTCCCATCACAGGCATGATTTTGGCTGTGGGTTTGCTGGCAGCCACTTGGACTTCCAGTATGGGCCAAGAGCAGGGCAGGATGGAAGAGCTCCTTGCCCACCTCTCTCCTGGGGACAAGGCTTTCACCAGCACTCTTTCCTTTCAGAAGATTTGTTTTGAGGAAAGGCAGTGCCAGGGAAAACTCTGCATGATCCAGGCTTGGCCATCCCTGCTGCCAGCTGCAGAAATGACTGCCATTCTGAGCACCAGTGGGGAGCAGGGGTTTATCCCTGCTGGGGACACCCCCTTTCTGCAAGGAAGCAGAGACTGGACTCTCCTTACTGAAGCCAAAGTCATCTTTGCCATTCCAGTGAAAGAAAAGCATGAACCTCTTGATGTGAGCACCTCTGTTCCCTTCAGACATCTTGAGCGTCCCTCATGGAGAATTTGGGATGAGTGGGGTGGAGCTGTCACAGTAAAGGTCCCTTTTCCTGCAAGGTGGCTGCCCTTCAGACAGATTTCTGTGCTTCTAGAAGGAGAGTTTGAGGCTTCCACACCTCAGGGATGTGGCCCCACTCTGCACAGGCTGTGGTGGGGTACAGGACAGGCTTTTCTCAGCAGTGGCTTCTCGTGGGGGCTGGTTCTCCGTGGGAGTGTGTTTGTTTCCTTTTGAGTTTATCAGCTGTCACCTGCAATTCTTATTAATTATGGCAGTACTGCCAGCTGCTTCTGGCTATGTGGGCAGCACCATTTATGTGCTTTTCACTGCCTAAATGCTGCACTGCTGACTGGACTATTTCCTGATAATATCTTTTGCTGTGTTTCTGAGGAAGCTGATCCCAGACCTCTCTTTTTCCTAATTCAGGACCCCCTTTCCCAGCCTGACATGCTCTTGTTCCTGGGCAGGGTGCCATGGTTCTCCTGCAGGGTGGCTGTGCTGATTTGGTAACCTGCTTGCTCACAGCCTTAGCTGAACTTGGCCCTGGCTTTCTTGGCCAGCCTGGGTGTGCATGCTCCTTTGAGGCAGAGAAAGGGAATGAGCTCTGCAGCTGCTGATGGCTGCAGCTACCAGCAGTGATGCAGTTCTTGTGTCAGCTCCTGTTTCCTCTTTCCAGAAAGGCAAATTGCTATCACTGAGCTGTCAGTGATATGGACAGAGGCCAGGATTTGGGCTGGCTGTGTGATTATATGAAGGCTCTTGCTTTATGTGCCAGTTGGGAATTACCAGCAGCAGTGCTAAACGCATTTCTGGTGGTCAAGGCTTTTGGCAGTGCTGATGAGAATTCAGCTGGTTTTATGCTCTGCTGTTGAGGTGCTGCTTTCATACAAACACCCTTCTCGAGCCCAAGGGTGCATCTTTTCCCCAGGATTTATTTTTAATATAGGAACTTGTCAGAGAAAGGGGCAGCAATGCTCTGCAGTGTTTTCTGGTGTATCTGCATGAACAGCTGGGCTCAGGCTGGACATGAGTGAGGAGAACCTGCAACAGGACCTTTGGATGTGACTGGTTTCAGACAATAGCTTAAATAACATAATTTAACACAGCAATGTGAAGTCCACAGATCACTAATTCTCTGTACTTGAAAATACAGCTGCTTCTTCTCCTATTCCCCATCTTAAACTCCATGCTGCAGCTTGACCTCAGTCAGTCCCTCCCTTTTGTATCCTCTGGGTGGCCACTGATATTTTTTTTAAACTCTGAACAGTGCCTGCTTGATGGGCTGTAAGCTCAGCCTTTCAAAATACATCTTTGCCCACCAAAAGTCTTCTTCTATTGTAGATATTCTGAGTTCAGTCAGAGAGAAAACAAAGGTTTCTAACCAGGCAGAAACCTGGGAAACAGTTGAGAAAGAATGTAAATTCTTTATCTCTCTTGTTGTTCACACTGTTTATAAATAAGTTCTGCCACTCTGCATCATTCACTGCACACCAATGGTTGAGATGGTTTTACTTTGGGACCAATAGAATTGGTCTGGACTATGCTGACTATAAAAGAGCAATATATTTGAAATAAATCAGAGTTCTACTCTCAAACCTTCTGAATCAGAGTTCTTTCATACTATCCTGCCTCAACAGCATCATTCCATGTGCTGGAAACACAAATGAAATGGAGCACTGGGAGCAGCCATAACTGGTCTTATTGCCAACTCCTCTTGGCTAGTTGGTGAAGAGGAAAGGATGTTTCTCTCAGACCTTTTTTGTGGGAATCCAGGGCTTCCCTCTGGCTGCCCTGGATTGTCTGGTACCCTGGCAGGGGGTCAGGAACCTCCCTGTACAGAGCCCCCAGAGACACTGTCTCTGATCTCTGTCCATGGAAAAGAGTTTTCAATCTTACAGGATGAATTACAAGCTCTGAGTGTTTGATATGAGTAATAATTAAGTGTGGCACGGGTGCAAAAGTAAAATTTTAGGTTTCTAGATTAGGGGTTCAAAGGGGACAAGATGGAGGAAATTGGGTGTGTCTTGTCCTTTTTCTCCTTCTTCATGCCCTCCATGTTTCACTGTAGTGTTGGCATTTTTCTATTTGTTTAGGCTGGGGACACACTGTTCAACGTAGATGACAGATATTGGCACATTATTGTAAATACAGCACACGTAGTTTTGGTATATAATGTTTGTAACATCCCACTGGGGGCAGAGCCCCACACGCTGCCCTGCAGGACAGACCTGCGGCAGGGCAGCAGAACATGTTCGAGATAAGCAAGAATAAACAACCTTGAAACCAGCACAGACGAATTATGGCTTCTTCTTTGGCAACAGGGCAGAAAGACAAAGACTTTTTACAATCTCGGAATCATCAATACCACAGATTCCGACACTTTTTTACATCCCTATCCTGATTTTTCCAGTAGGAAATTGTGAGCCCATGAGTTCAGCAGAAAGCCCCAGGGAATGGAAATCTCCATAGGGACATATTAAGGACAACAATAGTCTAATATTATGAATGACAATCAGAACAGACACCACATAATTTAACCCACAAGACTTCTGTAAAGGAATTGCTCTTAGATGTTGAGCTGCCCAAGGGTGAGGGAAAAGCATTTTGTGTAGAGAAAAAAAAACTCCTGATGCTTCAAAATGCTATGTGAAAAAGGAAATAATTGTAAGAAAATAGAGCAGACCAGGCCTTCCTTGGTGATCTGGTGGATGAGCAGAAGCACATCAGCTTATGGAGAGGCAGAGATGTAGCTGCAGGTGGTCTGGCCTGAGGATTTTTAGCACCTACTGGTGTGGCTCCCTGAGAGGCTGCAAGCAGCTGGAAACCTTTGTGTTCAGGCAGGAGCGTGCTCAAAAAATCAAGAGTGAGCCCAGGACTCCACCAAGGCAGCATCAAAGCTGAACATCTGTTAAATGTGAGCTGCCTCTGGGGGTGGCTACAATAGAAACTGTGAGCCTGGAAAGCTGGACGAGATGCCACGCTCAGCTCTTCTGGCAAGGAATTGTAATAATCTCCTTCGGGGTGGGGGCCCTTTGGTCTTGGCCTTCAGAGAAGTTCTGGCAGGCACACGGTCTGAGCCAGTGCTGAGGTGGGAGACAAAGAGCAGCCTTACTGACGTCCAGGTGTGCTGATGGAGAGCTTTGAGTGGAGAGGGACCAGGGAACACTGAAACAAGGCAGACCTGGCCAGGGCAAGTAAGACCTGATCTGCTGCCTCTGATTTGGTGAGAGGTGAACTGTGGTGGGGGTGGAACAGTGGGAAGGAGGCAGGTGAGTTTGCAGCAGGGCTTGTCCCCTCAGGAGAGCTGGAGCTCACATCCTCTTCAGGTCAGCAGCTAGGAGGGGCTACCCCCAGCCAGGACAGAGCATCTACTGGGGCTTTCCCTGCTGCCAGCCAAGAGATGCTTCCCATGATGGGTGAATATGAGCAAGCAGGGCAAGACTGGCTCTGCTATGAGGTGAAAGAGTGATGGGTGGGAAGCATATGGGTTGCAAACCACTGGCTGCCTCATTCCCTGGGGACCTGACCTTCAGAGAGCCTCTGGTAGTCATGGGGAACCTGAGCACCTCTACCTTGAAGCAGGCTTAACTTCTGTCCTTGATCACACACTGGCCTTCCTCTGGGTCTTGTGGTAGCTGAGCTGTGCCACGCTGGATGCCTTCCCAACCCAGCTGCCTCTCTGCTTGGAAGGGAAGGCTTTGTAGGAGCTCTTCTCGTCAGTCCTTTCCCAAGAAAACTCTATCACTCTTGAAAAAAACTGTTTGAAAGGATTCAGTGGGATAAAATGTGAAAAGAGGGGAAATGCTGAGCAGATGCAGCTTTTGCTTTGGTTTTGATGGCCGTAAGAAATCACACTAAAAAAAAAAAAAAAAAGAAGTTGTTTCCAGGAAAAGTTGTCTAAAGTCTCAACTTGATTTCCTATCAAAGCTGTTCTTTGATAAAGATTGTAATTTAAAAACCCAGCATTCCTGTCTTTTCTCTGATTAATTCTAATGCTATAAATCCAGAGGAGGAAGGGGATGCTTAAAAAGAAATGTCTGTATTTTCTGATATAAACATATTGTTCTCAGGAAGCCACTTTCTTCTTTGACAGGGGTCTTTCTGTTGGAAAACCATTGCTTAGCTTTGCCCTGACAGCCCAGTGACAGTAAAACTTGTCAGCATGGAGAAACTGGGTGGCCAGGCTGGATAATGTTGGTATTATGAGGGCAATTGGCTGTGCCAAGCAATCCCCTCCCATTCTCCTGATCCCCCTTCAGAGCTCCAAGGCAGTTGCTGGCTTGTGGCACATTTCTTTTCCTAGATGTCACCTTGGGGGTTTCTTCCCCCCGCCTCCCTGGATTACTAGGATGCTTGAGCTCATTTCTGACTGTGGTATTGCAGATGTGGATGGGCTGGGCTGCATTTTTAGGATCTGATTCAAAGCCCACTGAAGGCAGGAACAATTTGCTGTTGATGTCAGCGGTCTCTGGAGCAGGCTCTGTGTAACTGCTAATTTTTATTCCAGGCAATTGCAGTTAAAAAGAGTGAAATAAAACCCCCACATTTTATTTTAAAAGTAAAGTGCTCAGCCAGGTCCACTGGCTGCTGAGCAGCCAAAACAAGGATCCTACTTAAGCCAGGGTTTTGCACCCTTGTGCAAAGTGTGCCTTCTTCAACCTGGCAACTCTCTGGCTGCTCCTGTCGTGTGTCCTCCTCGTGCTGTGGGATGCTGGTCCCCAGTGTGTGACCCATGGATCCCACACACTGGTTTTGAGCACTGTGGGGTTACATGGAAATGTGCTGCTTTTGGGGCTGCTCAGAGGCTTTTTTTCCTGCCTTTGGAAATCTTTAAATACCCTTGTAACTACAGGAAGTTCAAGGAGAAACACTAAATGCTCATTCTTGTGAGAGCTGCCAGAGAGCTGCCGGGGAGCAGGACCCAGGAGCAGTTTGTGAGTAAAAAATGTATGTATAGGTACATACACAGGTACAAATTCCCATTGTGGGGGCCAAGCTGCAAGGGAGGAGCTGCCAGGGCAGTTGTGTGGGATTTGGGTGGCTGTTTCATTGGGCAGAATTACAGACTCATTGGGACCAGACCTCTTCTTTCAATTTCCTTGGGCTTCATCTAAAAGTCAACAGGATTTTCTTTTCCACCAACTTCCGTGGGCTTTGGATCAGGATCTTTGTGCCTGCAGGGTTATCTCAGTTTCCTGGAACTCTTTCACTGTTTGAATTTGCTAAGTATATTTACTGCCAGTCTGCTTTCTTCTTTAACTCCCGCTGGCAAAGCGTTTAACTCCCGATTGCAAAAACGTTTTGTTCCCGGCAGCTGCTGGTACAGGAGCAGAGTCACTCTCTCAAAATTGGCTCTGCACGTCCCTGGGTGTCCCCCTCTCCAGCTGGCCCCACCTAATCTTAAAACTTCACAAGATCCACTATGGACTTGCCCCTTGCAAATTATTTGGTGCAGTTGGGGAAGGTTCAGCAGCATCAGGCAGCATTATTAATATTTTTCCTTTCTTTTTGAGCCTCAGACAGCCCTTCACAAAGACATGGGCTCCCTGGAATAGATGTTTGCTCTGAGTTTATTCTTTGTTTATTTGTTTGGTCACATGAGGAGGGCAGAACATTCAACTGGCTGAAATAACAAATGTAGCCTCATCATGATATAAACAATATGTTTATATCAGAAAATACACTCAATGAATCAATAAGCAATGAGTAAATCAAATGTTGTGGTTGGCTGTTATTAAATGAGGAAAATTTTCTAGCGAAAGCCCTGGCTGTAGGTATTCAGCACCTTCTGGAGAACAGAAGAATGTGGCCTGACATTTAAAAATAGAGGAACCTAGAGTGAGGGGGTAGTTTGGAGAGCAGAGGCTGCTGCAGGGACAGGTCTGAGCCACTGTGGAGCCTGTGGATCCTCCTGCTTGGATTCCCATCAGATGATGGAGAGCAATCACTGGAAACACCAGCCTTCCAGCCAGCAGCACAGCTGCTGATGCTTGAGCAGGGCTTTGATGATCATGAGAGTGCCCTCAGTAATACCTACAGACTTGGCTATTGGAAAAAAGCCTGTGACTTGCTTTTCCACTTGAACTAGGGCAGGCTGACAAGTACCTGTTCTTGCTTTTTTAGGTATTGATGGAAATTTGACACTTTTAGGAGAATGCATCTCATCCAAGAGTCAAGGCAGGTCTTTAAAATCCAACTAGGAGTGGAGGCAGCAGACAAGCTTTACATTGTATTTCTCTCAGTACACAGAGTCAAAGTACAGCTTGCAGTTTAAATATACATGTGTGTGTCTAACCAGGACGGCTGAGAAATAGTCTGAGAAGTGAACCTCCCTGCCCTCTGTTAAGTTTTAAGCATGTGCTGCAATGTCAGAGAGACCCCAAAATGTGTTATTTGAAAGGATTCACTGCAGAGATTTTAAAGATAATCTTGGCACTTAAGGCATATCTGAATGTTTGGATTTTACAACATGTTGTTCTTTATAAGCCATTCCCAGAAGTTAATTAGGCTGTATGAAGAGATTTACAAGAGCCTCTGCCCCTGGCAGTGGAAATGGGAAGCACTTTTGCTGCCTGGGAGGG